TACAGTAAAATTTTAAAATAGTAAAATATAGTAAATATAGTAAAATAGAGATTTCTCTATCTAGAGTAAAAACCTTTGTTTCTCTCACTGAGCTGTAAAGGTAAAAGGCAGAATTTGAATAACAGGACTGTTGGGAGGTGACTGGAGTTCTCATCCTGCTCCTTTTCCTTGGATAAGCCACATTTGGTCTGGGACCCAGAACACCAAATTGTTGCCTCTTGGATTCCCTCTTCATTTTCTTTCAAAATAACTTATCTCTCTTCCTCTCTACCACTCTCCAGCTTCACACACACCCCCCACACCCCCCACCCCCTTTTTTTTTTTTTTAGCTCATTTGATAGTTTTTCACAGTGTCTGAAAATCAGAGCAGGCCGGGGAACATCAGCAAACAGCTGAGAAGGCCAGGCAGGAGCACCTGCCCTGCCTCCTCCCATAGAGGGAAACAGCAGCTTTCAGGAATGGGACTGAAACTGTTTCAAAGCTGTTACTCTCAGGTTCCTCTGTGGTCACAGCCTGTGGCTTCAGCATCACTCCGGTAGCTCTCAGTTGTCCAAGTCCTGCCTCAAAATTGCTGCAGTTTCCAAATATTATCTTTTGTTGAAGAGTTGTGTTGATCCAAAACACACAGCTTTTGGCATTTATCGCAATGACATGTTTTTATAGTATGTGACATTACTGAGCATGAGGAATTAACAAAACCAAGGGACAGCTCTGTATCCAGTTACTGAATTTGCACTCCCAGATAAAATTACCAGCAGAGAAAGCAACAAAAAAGCCACACTAAAAAAACCCTGGAACATTAAATACAGCCTTGACCAACATAACTCTCCACTCAAACACTATAATTTATGTGTACACTCTATTAAGAAGATTCCATAATTAAAAAATAGATACACTAATGTGTGATGCTATAGGTTTGGCTACCTTTTATTGGTAATAAGCAAATTTACAAGCTGACAATTCTCTGGAACTAATTAAAGACATCACATTATTACCACATCTATGAGAATAGTTAGACAGACACTTATATCCACATGTAACAGAGTGGTAGGTTTGCTCATAAATGGACAAAGAAATCTATTGATATATAGAAAGATGTGAATGAAAATTCAGTGATTAGTTTGAAAAGAGACAAGCTGAAAGTTAATGGAGTCCATTAGCTAAGAATGTTTTTTAGTGTTTTTTTTTTTTTTTCTTAAATGCTTTATCAGAAAGGTGACTGGAACATTTTATTTTTGTTCCATCTTCACAGTTTACACTTTATTTATATATGTTTTATATCTATATAAAAATCTTGCCTGAAATACAGATAGCTATAAAGACAGTTCAGCCCAATGCTCAGTCATGCTGCAACTACACTAAAACATGTTCAAAAATATAGCTGTTTTTTGTGGAGAACTTGAGAGGAGGTGAAAGGGTCCAAAGTACAATTCACAATTTATAGAGCTACCATGGTAACTATCAGCTGAAGAGTAACTTTATTTGATGGAGTCACAGGAAGTCAAACATCCATGAGTGCACTGCAATCAAGACATGCTGGCATCATGCAACTCCCTGAGAGGCATAATGAAAACCTTGTGAAGTGCTGTACCAGTACCTCATGCTCTTATGCCCTATAAGGAACCTTGCTAATGACTATGTTTCCACATCCTCGAGGTCCTGGCACTGAAAAATCGGCTTCCTGCACATTCTGCAGCTCACAAACCCCTTGACCTTGGCACTCCAAAGGTTCTGTAGGACATGTGGCCCTACAGCAGCCAATGTCCTATGGGAGATCTGTGACAGACCACAGCAGATGTGTGAAAAAACAAGTTACTCTGCTTCTCTGATATGTAAACTGTTGGTGTGCATAGGCAGGACTTGCTCAGGCAAAGTATGAACTAGCCAGGGGCATGGATGATAAAGTCAAGCAATTATGTCTAGGAGTAAGTCCAACCAGGCTGAAGTGAACAATGGCTGGACAGCTTTGAGTGCAAAGCCACTCACACTGAGCTTTACTGTTGGTAAAGTTACAAATGTCCGATATGGCTAAAAAGCCACGTCTGCCCAGTGTTGCCTAAGTGAACAGTATCAAAATAATACCTTTGTGTGTGGATGTAGCAAAACTAGGACTAATGGCAAAAAAAATCAGGTGTGGGGTGCTGAGAGGAGCTCAGTGGAGTAAGATGGAAAGATGGCAAAAATGTCAGCTTAAAGTAATAAAAAATGAGAAGTAAAGTATGAAGTCAGGTAGAGCAAAAAGGAAGGTGAATCCCCTAACAACAATAGCATGAATATTGGCTAACCCGATGCTAACCTGCATGCCCCCACGCACTGGGATGCTAAAAGGACACTCCTTGGACAACCCATCATCTGATTGGTGTCCATTAGATGTGGCGTGGGAGGAAATCACTTTGCACCTTTGCATCTGCATGCTAACAAAAATGTAATTTGATGGCAATTGCATGCTTATAGGTTACACTGGACTTCAAACCTATAATTAACAGTGTCACAGTCAAGCCTAATACCTGCATTATTATTTAATTAAAAGCTGGTACATCTGATTGCCTAGATCACTGAGAACTTTGTTGTCCTAAACATTTCCTTCTAGTGTGATCATTATTCAAAAACATGTCAATCATGTTTGCATCAGCTACCCCTCAAGTCTCCAATCTCAAGCGAAATCTTTGGCAGTTATGATGCTAAAAGCAGACTGAACCCAAAATGTTTTGTCCTGCCAGCATCCAGTTCTCTGCCAAAAACTGGTATGAAGTTAATTAGTCATTACTTATTATCCAGGTCCCTTGTGCTCTCTGTGTTTTTTCTGTGGAGCTGCCTTTGGCTACTAAAAAACGCCAAAATGCCAGAAGATCCTTCCTCCAGATGCTAGCTTATCAGAAACTATTTTCATATACTGCTGTTACAGAGGCAAGGCAGAGAATGCGATGCAGTGACATAGGACTAATCTCCAGTGAAGAGGCAGACTGAGACAGACAGAAATCTCACAAGGACAAATTGCTTTGTATTTCTGTGGATGAATGTTGAAGGCCAGAACCGCAGTTTCATCAGTCAGCTGAACACTTTGGCAAAAAATATTGAATTATTCTGTGTATAGGCTGCAGTACAAATTTCCCTGATCTCTGATTTCTTACATTCCTGCTTCTACTGAAAACAAAAATTAATCATATTTAATTGAAGCTGTAAGACACTCTCTTGTACTACAATGAAACCATTTTATAAATGGAAGAGACTGGCATTGAACTCAAAGTTTCATCCCTTAGCTTTTGGCTGTTGTACATGTTCAAACATTTTGGCTTTTTGTTAGATACAGATTAGGGATGAAGCTTCAGACATTTGCCTTTGAGGATCACACTTTTACTTTGAAATTCAGCCAAAAATGAACTTTACTTATCCTTGCTTAGATCTGTGTATTTCTCTATCTTAAGTCCTTGTTTCCTTGCTATTGAGAGACGTTTCTACAAATAGTCCTGATTAACTCTCATCTTTCAATTGGAGGACATGCTGCCATTAATTTTAACATGTGCACCAGACCCTATAGATGAAGTATTCCTGATACCTATACTTTTCTTTTTGAGATTCATGTACTAGCATAACTCCAGTTTTACTGGTGAATCCAGGGCCACCTCAAAGCTTTTAGAGTGAAGTTCTGGTCAGAACAGACCAGACAATTCTATGAGCAACATTGACAGGAGTTGGCCTGGTCCAAATTGGGGGTTGGACCCTTACCCTCCAGTGATCACTGCCCACCTGTTTTCTCTGGCCTAAGGAAACATGGCTGCAGCCTGCCATGACAGCACACTTTGTGCTGGTAAGCACCTCAGAGGGTCCCCATTCCTATTCCTGCTCAGAGCAGGCTCAGCCCTGCAATCAGACCAGAGCTCAGGATGTTATCTTGTGAAGCCTGGAAACCCTCCAGGTAGAGAAACAGCACCACCTCTCTCAGTGCATCCCCACTGCCCAGATGTCCTCCTGGGCTCATGAGGACCCAGGGCCTTCTCCCCAGAGCTGCCCATAGTCTCATGGCTTCCAGAGCCCAGGGCAGAGCTGCCCTTTTCTGCTGCTCCAAGGACATGGGGAACCCATCCTTTCCTCCCACTCTTGTCCCTATGGACAGCTGCCCTGCCCTTGTGCATGTTGAACAGTGATCCCTGATTTGGCACCACCTGCAAACCTGAAAGCCTTGGTCATCTTCTCAGGTCATGGATAGAGACATTGCACAAGACAAACCCCAGGGAAGATCCTCTGGGATCCCCCAGGGCACCAGCCTTGTCAGATATGACCCAACAGCCATCACATCTAAGCCCAAACACCCAACCAGATACATACTGCTCTTGTAGGGCACACACCCCCACCCCACCACCAGCTTGGCTACAGGGAGATTGTGGGAGGAATCAAGCCAGCCTGTTACTCCTCCACATCCTCAAATCCAGTCATTTTATCACAGAATATAATGAGGTGGATGAAGCATTATTCACTTTCTCAGTGTGTGCTGGTAACTCCCAATCACCTTTTCCTCCCTCATGTGGTAAGACACAAAGTCTAAGAGGAACATGGCATGATTTTGTTTTATACCTGAGTAAAACTGGTCAACCTGCAATTCCTGAGTCTTTTGGCTCTTTTCCAGTTGTCAAAGGCCTTCTCCATCTATGTGACAATAGAGAAAGAAGTATCTAAGAGAAAGGAACAATTACCAGTCGCCATTCTGTGTTAAGTAAATTCTCTTTCTTCTGATCTTTTGCTTTTAAAAGCTGCCCAATGATAGTCAAGCAATGCTAATCAAGCAATGCAGGGTACCTCTATTATTTTACTTAGAACTGAAGTCGGACTTACTTGATGGCCGTTATCAGGAATGCATCCTTTACTTCATACTTCTGAACTGTAATTGAAAGTCTTCTGTGTTTGAAATTTTTGAGCAGGCATATGAACAGCATGGCTTTGAGAAGTGAGATAATTACTTTCTATAACTGAAATATTATGTGAACAACCTTGCAAATAAGCATGAAGCAGGAGCAAGAGCAAACCAAAGCAGCAAAAAGCAAAGCAAAAAGCAAAAACTACACTACGTACTGTCCCGTCTCTCTGTCCCGCCAGCCGTGGGGGAGCAGGCTGATAACAAACCAAAACAAACCTTGCTCTTCAGAGCCAGTCATGAAGGCACAGTACATAACATCCAGCACCAACAGAACACACGATTGGGGATACAAGCATCATAACCTCACCCTAGGACACATATGCTTCCCTGGAGCTTCCGTAGTGTTTTGCCCAAGTAGGAAGTGTAACTGGAGTTCCTTGTCAGGACACAGGTAAACAAGACAACCAAGTTCTACTCTTGTGCAAAAGCCTACTCTGCATACTAATGAGTACGGTTTGTGCCTCCTCGCTGCTGAAGAGGACAAAGTACTTGCTTTGCAGGCTCTGATTAGACATCAGAGGGGACCACCCTGCCTGTTTGTCCTCATGTTCTGGATCACATTCCTTTGTGCTCACAGGTCTGAGAATAGGAAGAGAAAGCCTTCTAACATTGTTTGCACAGAACTGAGTGCAGAAGCCCTGACACTCTGTATTGGTGTAACAAACTGCTGGCTTAGAGATAACAACATCACCAAAATGCCTATTCTGCTCCAGAATAAAGTTGACATTATAACATACTGGTATATAGACAAGGAATATCCTCTGTGGTCCTAATAGGTAAGACATTCCAGTGGATATCTTTCTGTGCTACCTTTTTAGGCATGCAAAGACCAGGAATAACAATCTACTAAAAATGCTTGAAAACAGTACTTCCTTTTCAAATCCAGCTGGAAGAAATGAATTTGCCTTTTTCTTTCAAATATAAGGAAATAAAATCCTGAAGAAAGGTATTCACTGACTGCTACATAAAACATTTCTAACCTCTCACCTGTGGGTTTTAAAGTTTTTGAAATTCATATCTGAGTACATCAGAGGCATAGCAAGTCCCACTGGTCTCAGCTTGAAATGACTAAGTCCTTAACAGAAATGAAATAACTAAACAACATGTGACTTTCATCAGTGACAGCAACATCCAAGAATAACTTAATTTAACAAGAAGGAAGAAAGGTTTCTTCTTTAATTCAAAGCATAAAATATAATTATGCTTTTAGATACAAAGCAGAAATTCTGTGAAAAAAATCAGCAACAATTAAAGTCCAAAAATTGTGCATGAATTTTATTACTTTGTTTCCTGAGCTAGATTTACAACACAACATGCAGATGCATTTAACAATGTACTTCACTATACATTCTGCACTTGTGACAGCTGTGCAACAAAAGTAGCAATTGAATTTCCAGTTTTTAGTAACTTCAAAAAGTAACAGAATCTTCAGTAAACAAAAGCTTCACTGTTAGTAGTGTCAGTGTTGAGTTTCCAATGCTTATCAAGCTGAAAGGATTAATTTCAGCAACAGATTTAAAGCTCTTGTATTTTGACACAACTTCTACATTAGAAGTTTTGGCAGTGTTTATTACATTTCTTTCACTATTTACTGGTGAGAGTAACAACTTAAGCACATTCAGGTTCTAATGTCTCGATTGAAAACACAGAAGGGAACAGTAGTGACAGAATGACAAACAGAATCGCAGCACAAGTAACTTATGTAATTCTGACAAGTTCCTCTGATGAATCACCAAGCTTGCTGCAAGAGTTCTACATGCATGTACTGCTAAAAGATGGCTGCACAAAATGTCAGTTCTTTTGCAACCCGGTAACACTGGTGATGCAAACTCACAAAAATGGTGTGCAGATGGGGCTCAATTTCACAGCTTTTAGAGGCTCTAAACATTTGATAGAGAATCTTTGTCTTTTAGGAAATGTAAGGGAATTTTGGGCATCTAAATAAAGGACTGTTTCTTTTATAATCTGAGTATTAGACATTTCAGGAAAAATGTAAATCTAACTTCTAACTTTTCTGCCACACTGCATGAAAGTAATACTAAAAAGCTATCTTGGAAACAGAAACCTATTTACAAAGGAGATCTATAAACAAGGTAAGCAATAAAGCAGCCACGGCTTCTCCAGTCAGTGCAGCTCTTTCCCTTTTCAATAAATATTGAGTTATGTCTTTATGCTGAAACACAACACAAAGAAATTCTTATACTTGTCCAAAAAGAGCAGAGATACAACAATGTGCAGTACAGATACACCTCTCATTTCTGGGTAAATAAAAAAGTCTGGATTCACCTGACACTGCACCGCTCTACATGCTACTGAGATAGAAATATTGAGACATACCAATAGAAAATGTGTTTTGATCTTCAAGCTAAGTTGGAGATATGCTAAGCTTAAAGAAGATAGGTAAGCTTAATGACTAGAGTTAACTTACTAAAATGCTAATCACATTAGTTAATAGCCGTGCACGTCTCTAAATTAAGGATTACAAAATATATTAATGGTGATGTAAATGAAAAAGAAATACTGTTTTATTTTTTACCTCAGCTATCATCTTGATGTTCTTTGGAAGGGTCTAATACTTTAATATGAATATTTTGTCAAGCATTGAAACAATCTGCCCAGAAAAATGGTCACTGGAATCACTGTCCCTGGAAGAGTCCCAAAAATGTGTAGATGTGGTACTTAGGAACAAGGTTTATAGGTGGACCTGGCAGTTCTGGGTTAATGGTTGGAGTCAATGATCTTGAAGGTCTTTTCCATTCTAAATGATTCTATGAGCCTCATGGAAACTGACAGTGCAACTACCAGTAGCGGTTTACACACAGAAGGACTGACAACTCCTGTGGAAGGACATGAGTCTTCTCTTTTGTGTTTTGAAAGACCTCAGCTGATCACTGACCAGGATCACTGACCAGGATCACTGACTCCACTGCAGGACAGTCCAGAAATATATGATCAGAGTATCCTGGCTGGCACTTACATGCACAAAGCTGCTTGAGTAAAAATCTAATTCCAATGTGCAACGTACTGCTATTTAAGCTGCAAATAATCAATGGTCTGCACTCAGAAATAGCACTTATATTAAAAACTGCAAACATGTTTAAATGCTCTAAAGGAAGAAGGCAGTAGTGTTAAAAGAGGCAGATGAGTAAAAGTCGTATTTAAGATTTGCATCACATACATAAGAACAAGTTTCAAAACCTCCGAAACTTCTGAAGGCACATTTTCTGCAACCTCCATGGTTAGTGAGGACATATATACCGTTTTTTGTGGAAACACTCAAAATACTGACACAGCAGAACAGGGAAAATCTGACACACACCTGAAAGAAGTTTCTTGGGAATAAAAATTAAAATGCTTCCTTTCATCATACACCAAAACATATCCACATTTATCCCCTAAGCCAATATGGCCAAGGAACCTCTGGTAACACTAACAATTAAAAAAACACACAAACATCTGGTAACACTTACAATTAAAAAAAACAAGCAGAAGAGATCAATTAGTTAAAATCATGCTTATCTAGCAAAGCTGAAATTCCCTCTAACAAGACCCTTACTGCTTGAGACACATCTCAGCGTTAAAGTGCTCCTGATGCTTCACCCTCAGTAGACAATGCTTGTCACCAGTTTGGGGGTCCCACTGACAGATTTCGTGCTCTGCAGGACTGCAATATCAGATGCAAGGAAGACTTTAAAATGTCATGAGCATGTCACGTTCTTGTACACTAGTGTAGAACGGCCTCCCGAAGATAAAGGAGTGTAAACCTGGTTTAATCTTCTCAGCCAAAGCCATTATTATGTTAAGATCGCCCTCTGCTGTCAAGTCAAGATCTACCTTTAAGCTACGAAGAGACTTAAAAGGTTTTTTGCCTTTTTGCCTGCAAGGAAACAAAAACATGTGTTTTAAAAAAGAACAAAATAAGTTTCTCTAAATCTGCTTCCATCATCTGTTCACTTACGTGTCATCCTCTATGTACTTTATTAAAGTTAAGGCTTTTCTGTGAAGGACTAGCAGAAATTGTGCAAGGAAAGTACTCCTTAGAGACAAGCCAGGCTTCAGGTGAAAGATCTGTTAAAAATTAAGAATATTAGATAGACATGGAAGCTCAAGAATCATTTCAAGAATCTGGAAAATAAAGAAATGTTGCATACACACATAAGATACCCTTCATTATAGCAAAGCAGGCAAATACAGATTTGTACATAGTCAGCATGCTTTCTATGTTTTCTATCTGTTCAGATACAATAAATTAAGCTGTATTGCAATTCTGTTTGGATAGTTATCTGAAATTATTCCTGGTCAGGTAGTTTTTTCAATACTGTAATTGTAGACAGTGCTGCAAAGCAATAAAAAATATCCCTTGTTTTTCACATTTAAGCAGGGGTTTCAGTTTTACATCAATATTTTTCTTTCTACTTATGTAGAGAAGAATCACAGCAGTAGTAAGAGGAAAAGCTACCAAACCATTAAAGGATGTATTTGTGTTAAATTATCTGTTATTAGGGGTCAAAGTACTGAACTGTGTTTCTTTCTTTTTCTGAAAAAAACAACAATTACCTGTTCCAGGAAGGCTTTTACTAATGTATCTCTATGAACGATGTCCTGAAAGACATTTCTGTAGAAAAGAAAAGGAACAAATGTGTGAGTTAATGCCAGTAAGGGATATTAACCTTCTAGGAGTTGAACACAGCAGTAGCATTACTGTTGATAGTCTGGTTGAAATTAAAAGTGAATTTAAAATTGTAGTAAATGATAATTCTAGTATTTTTAAAGATAACACGGAATTTTAAAGCACTCAGATGAAATGAACTAAATCCAGAAAAGCCACTGGTCTCTGTCAAATACACTTATCTCTATCATATCTCTAATTAAAACAGGCAATACAATTTATATGACATGGTCAGAATTGTAACTGAGAATTAATTTCAATAGTATTTGATATAAGCAAACTACTGAAGGACCTGGTAAATTCTGCCAAAACAAGTGTAAATACCAGAACTCAGTAAGTTTTTTTTTTTCCTTTTAAGACGCTCCATGTACTTTATTAGCAAGTAGGCTCTATACTGTAAACTCTTATCATGAATCAAGTAACTTTGTGAAATGCAAGAAGAATACATACAAATCAGGTGTGAAACTCTCATCTGTGTGGATAATATGATCTTGAGACATTTCTTCATCTGAATTAGCTCTCCAAAATGCTGTCAGTTCAGATCTCATGTATCGTCGTTGGTTATAGATGTGTTCATGACAAGGGGGCATCTGCTTCACGGTATTGACATCAACATCTATATGTGTAGTAGGGTATGGGGCATACATTACTTGACGGAAGGGCAACACAAAGCTTCCTGTTGCATCCTATTTTAGTGGAAAAAATCCCTCTTTTAGTTAAAAATGCGAAGCTATACTGGGACAAAACAATATTAAAACATCATGCCTACATTTTATAACCCATTTGTTCATATGTATTTTGTTTGGGACAACTGGTGGTTGTATTGCAGTAATAATTCCTTAATACTGGATGATTTCCTTAACAAAAAGGTGAAAACAGGTACTGAGGTGACCTGTGTATTAAAGTATTGCATCACCTGGTTTTGTGAACCCATTAGCATTATAGTATTGTAATTGACTGGTAAGTTCAGACTGCTTACTAGAGCAAGAAGCATTATTTTTCTAGTCATCTTCACCCACTGCTACAGACTGTTTAAAATACTTGGAAACTCCAGGCCTGATATGACTGTTCTTCCTTGGTTTTGTTAAAACACAAAAACTTAAATGACTTTTGGAATTCTAGCCTCAGGCAGACAAAAGTGTATTATTATTGTACCTCAAAGTACAGGAACGATTCTGAACAATCCTCAAGAATCAAATGTGTCATAGAAAAGACTGGCTTGGAATTTCTACATGAAGATAATTACAAGGAAAGTTACAACGCCAGAAAACATGACATCAAGGGACAACGACACATGTTTTTGAACGTGAATGTGTGTATGTGTGCATATCATATGCAAAAACACACATTGAAGGATGTTCTTAAACTACTGAAGAAAAGAACTTTCCTAAGCGTACTTACTTTGAGTAAGCCTTGAACAAAAAGTCCTGACTCATATTTGAAAGAGGACTCACTTCTACAGAGTCTGGAACACTTCCGCTCAGATGGTGTGAGAAACAGGCACAACGTTCTCACAATCTGCATTAAAAAAGAATAGTTTGAAAAGCATGAAAATGTAAGGAAATAAGTCTGACTAGACTGTGTATTGAAATGCCTTGTATTAGGCATTTCAAATTATGAACAAAAGAATTCACCACGTTTATTATAAAAGCCAAAACTTTATAAAAGGCCACAGAACAGTGACATGCTTACTTTTACTTTTTTTAAAATTACTGGTGCTGTAAGCCACACTACTCCAACTTCTTGCCAAATGATGAAAAAATTCTACATATTCTTGTAACCAGGTTTGTTTTTTACCCAATTATGTAGAACAAATAATTTTTGTCTTCTACATCTTTCTTTTAATAAACATGAATTACAGTGATTACATTCCTAGCCTTTCAGGCCTCTTAATTTGTTCATTCCCTATTAAAATAGCAGTTATTGTCTCAAATCAGGCGCAGTCAATTTTGTAAATAAGCACCGATGCTTATTTCCTCAGTAATTTCCTTAAACTCTCTACTACAATGAACACAGGTACTTCATCACACATCTTCAAGCTTCTGAGCTGAAATAGCTGCAAGTAATCACTCCAAATACAACACATATTCCATTCTGCTCATCTTTCAGTCTTAACCTGTGGTGTCTTATCTGTGTCTGTAATGTATTTGAAAAGGTTCTCCTTGCACAACGTGTTTCTGCAGTACCTAAAACAATGACAACATAATTTCTGACTGAGGCTTTTTGTCACAATATGCCACAAGTGGTTTTTTTTTTTTTACTTTGAGGCAAGATGAAATAATATGCTTTTAAGAAAGCAGTTACTTCAGAAGAGTTGTACTGTGACACAAGGAGCATGCTGCTGATAAGAACATGTATAGAATTAATTTATGAAATTTACCCTGGATGTATCTTGAAGCTCACATTCTTTTACACTGTTTTTTCCTATAGTGTCCAGCTTATTGATACATTATTTTACACATTCATAACCATTTAGACATTAGATCCTTTTTACTATTAAATGGTCCATAAGTTATTTATAACTACTTAAGCTTCAAGCATTTCCTCTTGTATTATATATAGCATATGCATGTACATATATAACATTATATATATTCATATATTCACACTGAAGAAATAGACAAATGTTCCACAAAACACAAGCAGCTCATGACACAGAAACCTCTTTACTGCCAGTGCAGGAGAAATTATGGAGACACTAATTGTTTAAGAGCATACAGACAATACCTAATGGTATAGGTATTGTCTGTATACGCACCACTACCAGTGTTCCCCAGAGCCTAGCTCTGGGCTTGATCATAATCAACATCTTTACTGATGATCTGGATGTGGGGACTGAGCTCACCCTCCGTTTGCAGATGACACCAAGCTGTGCAGGAGTGTTGATCTGCTTAAAGGTAGGAGGGCTCTGCAGAGAGACCTGATCAGACGGACTTGCTCAATGGGTCAAGGACAAACTGCATGAGGTGCAAAAAGACCAAGTGCTGGGTTCTGCTCTTGGGTTACAACAACCCCATGCAGCACTACAGGCTGGGGGCAGAGTCATTCTGGGGTGTGCTGGTTGACAGCCAGCTGAAATGAGCAAGCAGTATGCCCAGGTAATGACGAAGACCAATGGCATCCTGGCCAGTATCAGCAGGACACTGTGGCCAGCAGGACAAGGGCAGTACTTGTCCCCTTGTACTTGATTCTCATGAGGCCACAGCTCAAATGGTGTCTTTACTTCTGGGCCTCTTGCTTCAAAAAGGACACTGAAGTGCTGGAGTGTGTCCAGAGAAAAGCAACAAGGCTCATGAAAGGACTAGAAAACATGTCTTAAGAGGAATGGCTATTTAGTCTTGAGAAAAGGAGGCTCAGGTGACCTTATCACACTCTACAGCTCCCTGAAAGGTGCGTGCAGTGAGGTGAGGACCAGTCTCTCCTGCATTTCCAGTCTCTGCTGTGCTTGCAGTGAGAAGACAAGAGGAAATGGTCTTAAAATGAGACTGGGGAAATTCAGATTAATTATTATTTAAAAAAATTTCACTGTTAGCTGTCAGGCACTGGAATAGGTTTCCCAGGGAGGTGGTGGAGATGCCATACCTGGAGCTGTTTAGGAGGCATCTGGATCTGGTGCTGGGTGATGTGGTTGAGTGGTTTAGGGGTTACAGTGGCAGTGCCAAGTGGATGGTTGGACTGGATGACCTTAAAGGTCTCTTCCAAGTTTGATCATTCTGTGATTCTATGACATAGCTGAAATGGACAAGCCAGTCAGGTCTCTTTAATTTGTGTATTTTAACTAAAAAAACCTGATTTTAAAAGCTTGAACTCATTTACCACTCATTTATGTACTGTATCAGTTAAATATATCGGTTTTCTTGTAGTTGTCAGAATACAACTGAAAGGCAATTTTCTGGCAATATTCTTTTCTGCTAGACCAGTCAACTGAAGATAGCCAGACAATAGTACTCCCTTCTTCAGCCTCAAGAACGTTTATAGATTAACTTTGTTCCAATTAACACTCCTAATAATCAGCATTTAAGTTCAGTTTATTGGAAGTATGTTACCTTATTAACTTTTTCTGCACTGCTTCCTACGACTACAGAACAACCACAGGTCTGCAGGTGTGAACTAATTGCACTGCAAGTAAAAACAGACACAGGTTAATACATTTAATCAGATTTTTCAAATGAAACAGTTGTCACTTTCACAAGAAGAGTAGTGTTTCAAGTGTAAATATAGCCTACATGCCCATAACCATAGGACTTTAAAAGCAGCATAGGTTACTGCTGAAATCCAAAAGTTCAGGGTTTTTTTCCAGTATTGGAAGCACATGTGATGGTGTATAAATAGATGGCACCAAGCACTACATCTATGAATGCAGTTATGCAGGAGATACAATGAAAGGTAACAGAATATCAATTAAAACCTATTGAATACATTATCCCACAGGAAGAGACCAAGTTGCTCTCAAGTTCAACTATTTCCACTTAAAAATTAAAAACAGGGGAAAAAGAAAAATACACAACTCAACAATAAGCATGCTATATGCCAAACCATTAAGGACTCTTATTTAGAGTTTATGCACAACCCAGGTTTTTTGCTATTCAAAAAAAAAATGCAAAGACTTAAGAGTCTTATTAAATTTAATGTAGATATCAAAGAAAAACATGTATTTGATAGGAATTCAACTATCAAACAAATAATCCTGTGACAAGAGAGTCTACAGAAATGCAGCTATTAGCCCAGCACCATTATTTTAAAATGACAGAAACTTTATAACGTTTTATTGACAAAAATCTCAAAAAAGCCAAATACATGTCATTATTCCCCCTCCTATACAGAAATCTATTCCAATCCATGTTCACATGCACATGCAGATATATACACTTAGATGCATACACACATTTAAATCATTTTACTGCAGCATAAATTAAAACTGAATTTCATACTTGAGGAGAAAGCCTTCATGGCAACTATCCCCAATGTCATCATCATTTAGCACTGTGTCACTTATCTGAAATGCAAGTAAATATAAACAGAAGTTAGACAAGGATCTGATCACCTTCCAATTAATTGATTTTTGCTTTGATACATGGGAACTGTTTGGCAACTATTTAAGTTAAGTTGTAAGGCTTCCCCAAAAATTATAATCTTAAAACCTGTCTTCAGACAAAACATTTTGAAAATGAGAAAGTCACTGGATTATGAAATCTTCAACAGCCACAAGTCAGGTTTCTCCTAGTGGCTTTTTTTTCCTGTAAAAAGTGTCCAGAATACTTTAGATTAGTGCATGTTGTATAACTTCTACTTCTTCCATGAGAACACTACAATGCGCTGAAACAGGTATCAACATCAAATCCCTTAATCTGCCCATTCACTTTGGTCTGCATCAAACTGACTTTCAATTTGTACAAGGACATCATCCTGCATAGTCAATTTTGCTAAGTAGTGACCATAAAAAATACTGCCATACATTACACCACTTAGGAGAACTTGATGTGAAGCAATTGAAGGGTACAAGAATTTAGGAAAGTGGGCATTTTCTCTGGCAAAGTGAGTACCACAGTAAAGGCCCAAAGCTATGTTTCATCCAGAGGGAGAAAGTCACTTTTCTAAAATTCAGATTAAAAATAAATCAAGAACTTACATCTATTTCTTCTGGAACACTGTGTGATTTCATAGATGAAAGAAGTTGCATTACAGGAATGACTTCTCCCGTCAGCATTGGAATGATGCTCTGACCCTAAACAATAAATAAGTTGCTTGAAGTAAAAGCACATTGGGTAGTATTAGAAGTTACTACTAACATGAACTTGCAGTATTATAGGCAAAGTATCCTAACTTCCTACTGCATGGAAGGGTAGTATGAGCAGAAATTGATGCACAGACTTCTTGGACTTTACTCATCAAGAATTATAAACTGAAAACATATATTTGGCTTCTCAACATCACACCTAATATGTGTATCTGGGTCTTATGCTAATTTTCAGCACCAGTTTTCATTGGCCTAGACAACAAGTATTTGATGTGAGATAATCTGATCAAACTATGTTATGTGCAATCACTGTTAAGCATTTTACGTGCAAGTCTGATCTTGTAACAACAACTGGAAATCAAAACCAGGCATATTACTCATTAACATAAAAAAAAATTTCCTGACTTATCTATCACAAGGAAGCCACAGTCTCATATTTAGAGTTTCAGAAATCAAATTCTTTTCACAGTCTCATCCATTAAGTCTCCAAGAACATTTCAACATGACACACTCCGTATGCCCCTGTAATTCTAAGCCTAACCTAACGGAAAAACAACCTTGATAGGAGGCTAGCATAACTCTATGAAAGCTGCTACCTTTACAGAGCTTCAAGTTCAAGTTAATAAGTTTCCTTTTCTGAAAGGTAATATTCTTCACAAATTTCTACTTTATCCCTAAAGCGATGAAATGTAATTTCCTTTAATTTGATCACAGCTGCCATCATCCTGTCTTCAGAAACTTTGCCTAGTGAGCATGTCACATTATTAGCCAGTCTAATGCATCCTCCCGGATCCCAAAAATAAGAAGCAACAGCAACTTCTACAGTCATCAGAGGCAGTCAAATGTTTTTGTAATGGCGTGCCATATGCATCCACCAGATGGCCCTTACCTGATCCTCCATTCTTTCTGTGCCTTCCAAGACAATCTTCTGGAAATGTTCTTGCCTCTCCTGAGCAAGAGAAGCAGTTAAATATAAACACTCTGGCATTTGTTCATGTATGTATGCACATACCAGTCAGTCAGTACAGTTTCTTCCCTGCAGAGTAAAGCTTCTTACATTAAAATTTTGATGTTCAAGTACTTTTTCTTTTACAGAGTTGACTTTAGGAGGAACTGATGTCATGCAACACAGATCAACACTCCCTGCTCTGCCCTCCACTGCACATCTCCCATGTTTGGGCAGGAAAGGAAGGGTTCGATGACAATGTCAAAACATTTTCGTTATTACAGATCAAGAAAATGACAGATGATCAGATTACGGTGAAGAATTCCACTTCATGTATGGATTTTTATTTTCAGATGGATACAGTATAGATTGAGGATTCCTGACACAACAGGATAAAAATAAGATCTTCAGAATGAGGAAAACTATTTGACTGGGGAGGGCGGGAAACAAAAGACTTTTTTTTTCCCCCACCCCTTGTGGCACTTACAAGTCTTCAAAACATTGTTTTATAACAAAGTACAGGAGACATGAAACCTCAGAGTACACAAAACAATGTACAAGAGGCCTGAAATGAACAAAACTCTGAAAACAGACTCATCAGCAGCTAATTAACAAACTGCATTTAAAATGAACTCACAATGGATATGAAGTTATTATTCACAAAGAGGATTTGGCATTAATCGCTGGAGCATCAATACAAGCCACACAAAATAACAGATGGTGGGAGAACTAATGATACATTTTGCTAGATGCTGACAGGTTATTGCATTTTTATTGGTTAATCATTAGTTTCTTGTGACTGACCTACTCAGAGTTAATCAACTTCAAGTGTGAAAAGAGTTTGCAAGACGTTTTTTTGGGCAGATGAATAGGGAATAAGCTAAAGTAGTTTGCCCTTAAACAGCAATAAAAGTTTTCTAACCATCTAAAAGAAGCATCAATGAAAAACAACACAGGAACAAGGCAGATTCCTTCAGGGCACCTCCACCCTTCAATCAGAGAAGGCAGACATCCTTGACAATCATTAAAAAAAACTCAGTCTTCTTGAAGATAAGGCTGAACAAATGGTGTAAGCCACTTCTTTTCAAAAATATAACTGTTGAAACGTATTAGACAAACATACAAAGCATAAATTGGAGTAGGTGAATGGGGTTTCTAATCCCATATTGATGACTTGCTCAGAGTTGCCTGTCTTTCTTTGCCAGTCTGAACACTGCTCCATGTTTCTCCTAATTCTTGAGTTCAAAAGGCTGTTCTGATCTTAAGTCTAGCTGGAAATGTTATCTGGCTCTACACAGAAGTAATGCGAGCTAATATTCACAACTAGTAGAACATCCAGAACAGATACAGATTAGATAGGACTTGATAATTTTATTTGCTGTATGCAACCATAGCTGCTAAAATGCCTCAAAATGCAAACTACAGAATTAAGCTGTTTTAACTTATTATCATAGTTATGATTATTCTACAAATCATGCCTAAATTTTAATCTACATTTTCCAAGCAGTTTTCTCTTTTCTGAATTGGACTGAAAAACTGTAGATATATGCAGGGATCTGTGCTGTCCCTGACAAAAAAAAAAAAATTCAGAATTCAGAATGTACTGCTGTCTCAGCTAATTCAGCTGAGCTACCTGTATAAAGAAAAAAAAAAAAAATCATTCTCTATGCTGCTTGAAGGTCGTTTCTACTGTGAAAACATACTTGTATGGAGCAGTATCTAAAAACTGTGAAAATGTTTTACAGCTAAAAATGATGGATAATTCTTATTTGACCACACTCATTAGAAGCCAGTACAGAGGACACTAAATGAAAGAAGAAATGTAATCAGGAACATGAGACAGCATTCACTTACATTAAAACCACTAACATCTAAGACGGTTTTTAAAGACTAGATAAGGCATTAAATATTTGTGTTTCTACTACATTGAGAAAGAACTTTATGTACTATCCTTCCTCTAAAAAATAAACTCCAGAAACTAAGAAAAGCCAGTGTTTCAGAAAGCACTACCAGCCATAATCAGGCAATACAGCAAAAAGGAAACATCACCACAAAAATAATATCAGCTTGTTATTTCTGTAATTAGTTCAGATAAGAGCACTCAAATAGTATATTTAAAGCATGTTGACTACGGTTTTCAAAACAGAAGGTAGCAGACAAATGTGCATCACCATATTCATTACAGCTGATGGGCACTAAGACAGCTTGACTGCTAAGACTGCTCTAAGACAGCTCGAACTCCATAAAGATGACAAAAATTTTAATTTTCACCATTAGACTGTTATTTAGTTTCAAGAAAAATACATACAAGATTTCACTTAATAAGGAAATATCCATGCTTCGCCCAAAGATCAGAGTTCCAGTGCTTAAGAAAAGTTAGCATGTCTTCCTTTTTGAGTTTCAGGAGTAGAAATACTTGGACTGAAGCAGATGTACTTTTGCAGATCTCCCTTTGGTTCTACACAGTTTAAGTCCTGACAAACTGTTTGTTAACCCTCTTTTTTTAAAATAAACATTTTAAACAGGAATGGGAAGATTCATTGTATCAGTTCCCTTTTCTGAACCTCAACAAGGAACCAACACAGTAAATTTACAATTATACCTAGATTAAACACAAAAATTAACACAATTAAAAACAACAATTTATATGAAATTCATAGAGATAAAAACTGCACAGGAAACCTCTTTCAACTACACAGTCTCATAAAGGCTATACAGTATCACCAGGATAATCCCGTGGCTAAAAATCCCAGCCTTGAATTTGCTGATTTATAATCTGATAATTTTTAACCTTCAAAACTGTATAGAGACCTGCCTTTTCTGAGTTTGTGTCTCTGGACCTCACATAACACCATCTCAATTTCTGCTTCTGCACAAAGACAATCTAACAACTATTTTAAGTAAAGAACAATAAACTTACCTTATGCATCCATATCCTTCCTTTCCTTATAATATGTGTTAACCTATCCACGCACACTCTGTGAAGTGGCAGGTAGAAACCAAGTTCACTTTGTGGAAGTATAATTGATAGTCCATATGTGCTTCTGTCTCCGTTCCAGTTTCCATCAAAGATTAATGACACAATGATTACTCTTTTTTCGGCCAAAACAAAGAACTTCACATCTATTGCTCCACTTTCTGCATTCCGAAGTATTTCTCCATTCAGGGTGTGGTTAGCAAGAAAAGTTATTTCACCGTCACTGAGAAGTACCTGTTCTGTCTTTGGAGCCCAAATGTGCCGCACTCGGGGGCCAAGAATATTGTCCCAGTAAGCAAAAGTGGCAGCTAATAATGGTGACTCACCATTCAAAGATATCTCTGTCTTAGCAACTGCAGGAGATGGTGGTGGACAAAGAGCTGACATGCCTGCTTCCTCTCTCTTGTCCAACTAAAATACTTACATTACCTAAAAAAAAAGAAAAAATTGTAGGAAAAATGTTAGAACAGCCCTCATAATTATCTCATCTTCTTTTTACCTGGGCAGATAGTGTTAGGACTTGTTTTAAACCAAGACAGGAAATATTTAGATTAGATGTTAGGAAGTAATTCTTTACCGTGATGGTGGTGATGCACTGGAAAAAGTTGCCCAGATAAGTGGATGCCCACAACCTGGCAATGCTCAAGGCCAGGCTGGATGGAGCACTGAGCAACACTATTTAGTGGGATGCCCGCCCAGAGCCAGGGGCATTGGAACTACATCATCTTTAAGGTTCCTTCCAATCAAAGTCTTTCCACAATTCTTTTCTTTTCAAATGACACTTTTAAGAGGCAATCTGGCTTCTTCACCTGAGATTTCATCATAGACTTCGTTCAGGAAGGAAGTTTGTATATATACATATGTATGTTTCACATACAAAAGTGGCATGCTTTACAATCATTAGTCAGACCTCAAATGCCCTTTACTCACTATAGAAATATGATGAACCTGCACAACGTGCAGCTTGTGTACAAAAACTGACACAATAAATCTATTCTTTACATCATATGCAGGATGTTATGATACAAGTGCTCAGCACTTTATAGAATATATTGACAGATAACTTCTTATCTTGTGTGGACACAATCCCTGAACATCTTCTCTAGCTGTTTACACCAACTCTACAGCTTCCCCATTCTGATGAGGCTGTAGAAGCCAACAGGAAGTTCCATCTTCCCGAAAAGTTAAGACTAAAGTCACAGGAAGATATGAAATAAAAAAAAAAAGTTTGCAAATAAATTCAACCAAGGACAGAAAACTGTAACAGCTAGAACCCACCCATAATGAGGAAAACCCCTCATGAGCAGTTGGGCAACCTTCCTTTCCATTCTGCCTGCAGCACTCCAGATGCCAGCCACAGGGAATCCCACCCGGGACCAACAGAGCAGGAACACACACCTCACTACCGCAGCTAATTCACCAGAGCTCCGTATCTGAAGTTGTTATTTATTTATTTATCACCTCATAGCAGAAGTGTAAAATCTCTTTCGCTCCGTCTTCTTCTCAGGAGGCAGCCGGGGCCCGGCCCGAGCGGCAGCCGGGAAGCCAAGGCCATCTGACTTGGCCATCTGACACCGTGACTTTACGATTTTCCGGGAAGACACGGCGTCAGCCACCCCTACCGACCCCCTGCACCCACGGGCTGACCAGAGGCCGCTGCACCCCGGCGGCTGCGGCACCTCCTCGCTGCCGGCCCGGATCAGGCCCGTGTCGCACCGTCCGGATATGGTCTGAACCTCTCGGGAAGGCGGCGGGGAGGCAGCTGCGGGATGGCCCCACTCCTTTCCCCGCGAAGCAGAGAGGCCGCCAACACCATCCCCAGCACTAACACAGCCCCGCCGCCCCGGCCCCGCACACCCCTCACCTCGGCTCCGGCCGCTGCCCCGCGCCTGCGCCGCCCCGCCCCTGCAGCACGCGGCGGGCTCCGCAAGCGCGGCACCGCCCCGGGCCGGGGGAGGTGAGCCGGGGTGACTGCCCCCGGCCGAGCCGCGGGGAGGCGAGCCGCAGTGATTCTCCGGACAGGGGAAGCCGTGCCGGTGCATCCCTGGCGCGGGGAGTGGCTCTCACTGGCGGGTCACATGGAAGGAAACAGGCCCAGCCCGGTGTAGTTTGTGGAGGAAGGCAAAAGGCGGAACTGCATTGTGCTGGGAGCATCCGGCACAATTTATGGAGGGGCTTTTAGGCCTAAAAGAGGAAGTTGGTAATGACGGATTTGGGTTGGTATCCAAAGATAGAGCGTGCCGATTGGTGAAGGTGAGCAGGTTTGGTGTAGTGCTGCAGGTACGTGGTGAGTGCCTGTAGTCCTCTTAATTAGCAGTCCTGTCCGGGGCCTGCGGGAAAGCCAGAGGGGAGCTCGTCATTAGGAATTGTAATTACGGGACAAGGAGGAGTGGGTACAAATTAAAAGAGTGGAAATTTAGGTGAGATATTGGGAAGAAATGCTTTACAGTGAGGGTGATGAGACGCAGGAACAAGCTGCTCAGAGAAGCTGTGGATGTCACATCCCTGGCAATGTTTAAAGCCAGACTGGATAAGGCCTTGACCAGCTGGTGTAGTGGGAGGTGTCCCTGGCCGTGGGTGGAGGAGTGGAACTGCATAATCTCTAAGGTCCTTTCCAATCCTTTAATATTCTATGGTTCTATGATCGAAATAAACACAGCCATGTATTAGAGGCATTTATTTATTTACAGCGTAGAAAATAGGAGTATCCTGAAGTACCCTGAGGTTGTATTGGGAAGTACCCTGGGGACTTGTGTCTTTGGCAGCTTGAACAGGCCCATATAGGAAGTCTTAATAGGACACAAGAGACCTGAAGTGGGATATTTTTTTTTATTCATACCCTTCAACTTTAATCACTAAAACCACTCACAAAATTCACAGAATCATTAGCGTTGGAAGGGACCTCTGGAGATGAGCCTATCCAACCTTGCTCAGGCAGGGTCATCTAGAGCAGGTTGCACAGGAACGTGTCCTAGTGGGTCTTGAATGTCACCAGAGACACTCCATGACCTCCCTGGGAAGCCTGTAAAAATCCATTTAATGATAGTCTATTGAATAGCATCACATTGAAAAATGTAGTCTTCAGCCAGCTAAAATTTGCCTTTTAGACTACTTTAATTAATGAATTTAAAAGCATGCTGAAACATGAAATTACTTATGTCTGTGTGTTGGATTGTTATTTTAATTTCTGAGAAGCAAAGCTCCAATAAAAATAAAAATAAAAAAAAACAAAAAAACCCAGACATAATTTCTGTAACCATTACAGAAAAGCTTGGAGGAATAATGGAATTAAACTAGTTTGAAAAGTTACTGCTATTTAATTTATTTGATACAAAGATTGGACGATAAACTGGCATTTCACTAGTCATCTCTCGTCTAAATGGTAATATATGCAGTTCATTAAAAAAGGGTTTGTGTCTTTAGTGTAAATTGATTATCATGCAGTTGTAGACACCAAGCTGTACAGTGAAAATAATGCAATTAGTATTAAATCAGTAATGATATTGAATAAATGGACTTCAGAAATGAAGATGTAAGGGTTGTCATCATTATGTAACTGGATTGTCGTGTAGCCTTCCCTAAGGCACTTAGTATTCTTGTATCAGTTTTCCCATTATAAGTATTCCCATTGCCTTGAGAATTCTACATTTAAAGTGAAATCATCTTGTTCTACCCAAAGAAACATAATAATGAATTAGAAGTCCTTTATTTTTTTTCTCAAAGTTATAGATGAGTTGTGTAAGTGCTGTGGTGATAGTGTTGGCAGTGTGAAATTTCTGTCTATCAGCACTATGGTGGGTGTCTTTTTCTTTTCCTTCACTGTTGAATACTTCTCATGGAGAAGAGAGTCACAATCTCATTGCATATAATCTGAAGAGACTTAACAATATTTCTGCAGGTGCCTTTTGTGGAGACATGAGATAAGTGACAGGCTGCAGTACAACCTGCAGTACAACCAGTTATTTTTCCCCTGACAGAGAATACATGTGGCTATGAAACCTAATGCTGCACATCTGCACAGAAATTAGAGAATATGCAACACAGAAGATGAAAACAAGCTCAGACACTGAGCTTGAGTGAAAACACATCACAATTTTATTTGTGGTTTTAGTATGGCAACTTGAATCATCATCATGACTTAATGCTTTAGAATAAGGGAGTACATAGGCGAAAAGGGAAAGAAATATATAGTGGAATTCAACTGCTCAGCCTGGTGGGGTAAAATCAGGGAAATGTGGTGTTACCTAGCTGCCCTGCTTCAGTGAAACCATGCATGCACTCAGACACTGTAGGCTTGCATCACTTCATAAAAATGTTGTTGAAGAAATATAATTTTACTGTAATGAAATTCTTTTTCAGCCAGAGCAGATTAATTTTTTGCCAATGTCCAAGGTAAAAGACAGCAAATGGGAACAGCTGGTTGAGGCATCAAGAAACAGGGGCACTCAGTGGTAGTACAGGTATCAGTGCTGAGATTACACTTGATGTACATATGAGCAACATCAAGGCAGATTTTTGAAAAAACAAAGCTTGCGCTCCGCTATCCCCAGCTATTCTTTCTTATAAGAGGTGAATGATGGGCTTTTCCTCAGTAGGTCTGGTTTGTGGTTTACGGCTTTTTCACATTCACGTTAAAACCAGTGAAGTGTGCTTGCACTCTCACTGCATGTTCATTGAGTCTCTTGTCAGTAGTTTTAACTTGTTCTTAGAAACACTACCTTTGGTAAGTACTGGGACCCATGCAAATTTGAGCTTGACCTGTGAATATAAATTGATTACACAGAACTTCTGGCATTGATTCTAGCTGCCCCTCACCAGTTGTTTGTGTCTGAGTGGTGCTATCCCAGATTGCTGTCATTATGTTAGTACTTTGCTGATCACAGAATGGGTCAGATTGGAAGGGACCACAGTGGGTCATCTGGTTCAACCTCCCTGGTCAAGCAGGGTCATCCCAAAGCACATGGCACAGGATTGTGTCCAGATGGTTCCTGAATATCTTCAGTGAGGGAGAATCCACAACCTCTGGGCAACCTGTTCCAGCACCATCACTAAATGCACAGGCATGACAGTGTAGAGACCCATTAATTACAAAAAGCAGCTTGAAATTACAGAGCCACTCAGTTGAAGATAACAATTTTGAAATACAATTTAAGGATACAGAATTTTGAAGTGCTGAGGAATTTCATTTTAAGAGGACTCCCTTTCCCCTCCCTGCCATGATTGTTACACACATGGAAAGAGTGATTTGATCCCCTAAAGAAACGTGTTATATCTTCAAGCCCTCATGACTGGTAAAACTGCTACAAAAGATGTATATAAATAGGTGGGGGGAGAAAGCATGTATGTGAAAAAAGAACTTTTAGCAAATAGCTGTATTGGAGCTCAGGGAACAGTGGTCTTCCTCTGAACAGATGTCACTAACTTTTGCACAACAGCAGTTCAGCTTTGTACAGGCTGGAGTGACAGACTATGGATTTAGGCAGTAACGATAGTTAACTCTTTCTTGACTGCTGAACTCACACTGACAGTTCCTCTTCAGCTGCCAGAAATTAAAAAAAATTAAAATCAAAATCAGTGTCTTAAAAGATGCCTACCATAAATTAGAAACGTGTAAAGAAACTGGTGATGCTGTTTGTGATGGGTCAGTGGTCATGTGAGTTCCAAGTGTTTTCTTGATTCCAGACTTGTTTTTAAATCACGGCAAGACAGGATCTGCTATACTAAACACTAGAGTAATTTTGACTTGGCAAAAATAATGTGGAATGTGGAATCCACACGATATTTCTGCATCATCAGTTAGAAATAAATAAATAAATTACAAAACTGAAGAAAAGGAGAATTCACCCCAGGATATAACCAGCTGTGTTGTTTCATTCTAACACTGCTAATGGAGAGAGCTGTCTCAGTAAGATAATCAATTATGTCAAAGAAAATATACAATTATCCATGAAGAGTTTAGCTGGAAAGTGGAAATAGACATGATATTTTTGATAAATAAGAGATAAGGTCATGTGGTATGTGTATCTCTCAGATATACTTACCCAAAGTAAGAAACCCAAGTTTATTCTAGCAGTAAGATCTTAGCTAAAGGTAGTTTTTATTAATCAAGCTTCTCTGCTGGGTGTATTTTTCAAATAAAGGCATTGTTCAGATGCAGTTACACAGCAGATTTCTATAAATTCTAAATTCACAAACCTATTGAAAACAGCTGGTCTCATCTGGTCTGACTTTTTCCCAACTCCAGATGAGTATTCCCTCTCTCCTTTTTTTCTGTATTAATAACAGATCAGCCTTACCTTACAGTTTAAACCTCTACAGAGGTTTGAAACAGTTTCTGTTTTGTTTGGGTATTTAGGGAGGCAAACCTAAACGTGGGAGTAATGTTACACAGAAGCAAGCTTATGTCATTATATCCTGTTGATCTAACAATGAAACAAAATTGGTTGTAACCCAAGACCATATCTTAAAATTGGAGATGTGTATTTTGGGAAATTTTCAAGTATGAAAGATGCTGGGAAAGCTTCTTCAGTATGTTACAAAGGAAGAAGGCCAGAGAAACTATAGCAGCACTGCTTATTAGGACCACAACATAAACCACTTCCTCCTCATTTTCACTTCTTCTGTAGAGTTTTACTTCTCTTACTGGGGTAGACTCTGATATGTCTTGATGAAAATCTGTGGGAGCACACTATTTTCAAAGGTGGTAGATAGTCCCTGCATTTTACCATGGATAAGCTGATTGCCAGCAGCAAGGGGTTTTAAGGAGGAAATCTTGTCCTTTTCTCCAAAGCTTAGGAAAATGGCCCAGTACTACTCTATTA